ATTTGCGCTTACCAATTTTTAAAATGTTTCCTCGAAATTACTCTTAAATACTTTAAGAGTAAATACGTCTAACAATTAATAAATATTTTTAAATCTATGGAATAATTTTAAAACCTAACGAACCCCCATAAAAAAATTATTTAAGTTAAAAATCTAAAACTAAAAGAAAGTATTTTTGTTCATTTTTATTGACAACTTTACTATTGCTGAATAATTTTATTAAAATGTTAGCTTAAAAAAATTTAAACTTTTTTTTTAATCTGAATTTTTTCTACTTGTAAATAATGAGCATATTTAATTTTTTTGTAATTTAAACTTTTATATGAACTGCGTGCGGTTTTTAAAATATTTTAATAAATGTTAAAATAATCGTAAATTACTTCATTAAAATTCCGCTCAAAAATATCTTTAAATATAATCAAACAAAAAATTTTTTGCTTGACGCAAATAGCCCTAGCTACACGCAAAATCGCTCTTGGACGACGTAAAATTCAAATCACCCAACGCTTTTGCAAGGCCTGATATATATATAGGCCTTGTTTTAAATAAAAAATGCTTAATGCATTAGCTTAACACAATATTTCATGTCATAAAATTCTCTTTATTTTTTTATTTTTAAAGACATTTCTAAATTACTGCAATAATATTAATTACTGCAAAACGAGTTAAATGTTATTTAACAGCTTTTTTATTATTATTTTAAAGGAATGTTTATTTTCTTTTATTTTTTTTTAATATCAAATAATTAAATTTAGTATTGCATTTCTAAAAATGTTTAATATTAACAAATTTCTTTCTTTTCTCAACATTTGCATAAATGAATTAAAATAGGTTAAATTAGTTTTTAAAATGATTATTTCTTAAATTTCTAATTGCGGCTTTGCAACTACAAATGATTTTACAACTACAATTGAAAGTAACAAATTTTTGCAACTACAAATGAAGTAACAAATAAAAAATTACTTTATTTATTTACTTTTTTTATTTAAAGTTTATTAGTTTATTTTATTATTAAAATTGTCGCTGTGATTTAACTTGTTATAAAAAAAAAGCATAACTTATGTTTTGTGCAAACTTTTGATCCAATCATTTATTTAAAATTTAATTTTGATAAAAAAAAATGTTTAGGAAGGAAAACCGAAAATATAATTGCGATAAAAATAAGCTGATTTTTTTTAATGAACAAATAAAATTGAACAATGTTTAGTAATATTTTAAAATAGATTTGACAGTTAAGTTAAACCTAAGCATTAATTTTAGTTTTAATAAACTTAAATATATTTTTTTAATCAAAGTTAAATTATATTATTTAAATCTAAATTAAATTATATATATATTTAAATAGCGCTTATACTTAACATAATTGTCATTCAAACTTTTATAAGAAATATTTTTACATAAACGTCATTCAAAAGTTAATGTGATTTTTTTTTAAATAATAAAATAAAATTTAGCCTGGGCTGGGGTTGGGTTTGTGACCAGGGCTGCATAAACATTTACACATCCTAAAGTACATTTTTTTTCCAAAATTTATGTTTGATTTTGTATATATATGCATTTATAAACATCATCATCATCATCATCATCATCATCATCATCATCATCATCATCATCATCATCATCATCATCATCATCATCATCAGCAGCAGCAGCAGCAGCAGGAACAGCAGTAGCAGGCTTTAGCCTTCCTTTTTTATGCTGTTTCCCCTAATCATGGTCAATGCTCAAATGAGCTACTATTTCTATTACAATAAACCAAAACTCATTCTTACTTGGCTTCTTATTCAACAAGTTGCATCCTTTTACTGTATCTGCCCCTATTTATTAAATACTGGCATAAATATATGCCAGAATTTAATAAATAGAAAATGTAAGTATAAAATTATAATATATAAAGAATTATAAATTTATTTCTAGTCCTGGCTATCAACCCCTGCTAAATCTTACAATTTTTCTGGCGCCGGATTTGCAAAAAGTTTCATTTTTAGATGGGGCCAGGGCCTCAATCATTTACTAAAGGCCTTCATCTCTCTTTATATATATATATATATATATATATATATATATATATATATATATATATATATATATATATATATATATATATATATACAGCATAGCACATTTATATAAGCAAATGATTACTACTTGTTTTGACTTATGTTATTTTTGCAGTAGTAAATTTATTGTTTTGTTTTTTCATTCATTTCATTAAAACAATGTTTATGGTTTTTAATAAACTGAGAGTTTAAGGACCAGAAATATTTTCAGATATCACAATTCGCGATTACTTAACGATTTGAGCCTTGGTAAAAGATTGATTCAACATATTTTTGCTAGTATAATGCTGTCAGGGTGTTAGCCAGGAAAAAATTTCATACATCATTTTTGCCAAATTAAGAATTTAAAAAAAAAAAACGGTCATTGCATTCTGACATTTAAAAAAAACAGATAAATTTTACATTTTTTAGATACAATTAAATTTTAATCAAAATCAAAATAAGTTTTCTATTTTTGCTTTATAAACTTTATAAGTTTAATTCTAATTATTCAACTTGTTTTATTATGAGCAATTTTCTAAAGTTTTCATTTTTAAATCGTTTCTCTTCTTTGTTTGATATACTGCTGTTGTTTTTCAAAACGCCTTCAAATGCTTATTACGTATTATGCAAAAACGCAATTAAAAAATTTTTTTAGGAGAAACTCTTTGTAAAACGTTTTTTGAAACAAATAATTTTAATGAATTTTTTTAGAACACTATAAAAATATGTATTCAATAATGTTTGTAGACATTTAAACTAGCTTATTTTGTAAAAAAGTCAAAATTGATTTTTTTTACCTTAAGGCGTTTTGAAAAACGGCTACAGTATAGTAGAGAGAAAACAAGAACAAAAGACAATTGTTTGCAGTTTTAGTTAATGAATTATTAAATTTCATTGAAACTTTTATTTATTTTAATTGCGTACATTGCTTTTAAATACAGTTTTAAAAGGTTTAAAAGTTTGAAGGTTTAGTTCTGAAGAAATATTTAT